GGCCGGGGTTCCTACTTCGCAGGGGGCGGCAGAGCGTCGAGCATCCCGATTCGGCGGCTCCCGTGCGGGGCGCGGGGACTGCCCCGGCGGGGACTGCGGGGCTGGCGTGGTGGGACGCGGCCGCCCGAGCGCGGGACCAGGTACATGCGGGCGCCGGAGGAGCGCGAGCCCCTTGTGTGTGTGCGTTTCGGCGCCGTTCCCCGCCGGCCCTTTCCGAGCTGTCCCGCGGGTTAGCGCCGGTCCGTGCGTTTCCAGAAAGCCCCTGCTCTGCCTGCCCCGTAACCGTGAGCATCTTCTCTTGCAGTCCACTATGCCCCCCAAATATGACTCGTTGAGTCAAGACGAGCTACGCAAAAGGCTGTACCAGACGTTTAAGGACCGGGGTATACTGGACACGCTCAAGGTATCGGCTTTAGGCTTATCCGTTAGATACCTTTTACAAGTGGACGCCGTAGCCGGCAGTCCACGTGGGAATTGACCCAGGCCTTGGTGTTGAAAATTGTGTGCGTGTATACGTGTATATATAGTCTTGGTGTGTGACCTTTTGATGTTTTGTATAACTCGTTGTCCTCGAACAAGTCTCAAATGCTTTCGAGTTTGCGCGGTCTTTATATTCTCATAGGTTTTTTGAACTGACATTCAGATAGGAGCGAATAACTTTATAAAATGAACACATTTTAGTAAGGTTAGGCTTGTTTGATGAAGCTGGTTTATAGGTTCCTGAATTTAAATGGTATCGTAATAGTCATGCTTGAGTGAAGGAAATTGACATGATATGGAAAACGTTAAGTGTACTGCTTACTGTAGAATAGTTTCAGGAATGAGAACATTCTTTAAAATATCTTTGAAAGTATGAAGGTTTCATTTGCACAGCAAATACTTATTAGTATGAATTAACTGCAGGGAGTCGGATTAACAGCAATGAGTAGAATTACTCAAACATGTTTTCATTACTGTATACATTGCAGAAATATATTTTACACTTAAAAATGGGAAATTAAGGAAAAGTGAGATTGCTTTTTTTTCCTTCTCCCGCCCCCATTGTTTTTGTAATTAAAAAACACACAAAACAAACAAAAAAACCCACTTCAAACTCATCGGAAAAGTACAGGAAAACATGAAGGAGGAAAGTCATCTCTGATAGAACCACTCATTGGCATAATATATGTGTGCGTATGTGTGTGTTCTTCTTAGTTCAATATTATATGGTGAGCATTTTCCTTTGTCCTTAAAAGTTTCTTCAAATTCTCATTTTCGCTGGCAGCAGGCTCATGTTTGGATGTATGTGTAATTTATGTAGCATTTCCCTGTTGAATATTTAATTTTGGCAGCAAACATTTATTAATACATTTTATATATATAAATTAACAGCAAGGAGTAGGATTAGTTCAGACCCGTTTTCATAACTATATGTATTTCAGAGGTATATCTTACACTTAAAATGTTGACTAGGTTATACCCAGGTCTACACATTCTTCAGTTGCATTTCTCATTTTTTTGCCTAAAGTGGTATTACTTATGGTCTTCTATGACTCTGTCCTGGAAAATCGCAGGGCGTGAGCACTTCTTTTTAAGGCTCTTGGTGTCTCGTTCTAGAAAGATTGTAATAGTGTATATTCCACCAGCAGTTTGAGAATGCTTGTTTCACTCCAGTATTATCGCGTTTTAAAAACCAATCTAAGATTGAAAAACTCTTATTTTAGTACTTATTCCTTTGATTATTAATGAAGTTGCACGTATTGTCTGGCTATTTGTATGTTTTCCATGGATTGGCAGTTCATGTCTCTTGCTCAATTTTTTGGAGTGTTAGTGTTTTCTTACTAACATATAAGAAATCATTTAATAGAAACTATTAATCTTTTTTCCATTTTTGTGGCAATGCTTTTATCTTGGTGTTCAATTTTAATTTGGCTCTAAAAATGTTAATGATATATTTTTATATAGTCAAATCTATTGATTTTTTTTTTTTT